AGGTTTCCCAGTAGAATGTTGGGGAAATAGCTGGTGGTACAAAGAACGTCATTTAATTAATTTCAGTAGTATTCAGTTTAATTTAAAGTCAATTCAACAACAACAAAAAAATAATTGAGTACCTGTTACCTATTAAGCCCTGCATTATGTACTGAGGCTCCAAAAATAAATAAAGACAAAATACTTGGCTCAGAAAGCTTATAAGTGCATAAGGGAGACCCAGGCAAAACCACACCGTCATGGGACCAAACATTGGTCAATGATTTTCCGGAATAGTTTAATTTCAAATACTTTGATTATTTTTTAACTGTAAAGGAATCATTAAGTAAATAACTTGGGATTACTCTGAGTGCTTAACTTTGTAAGATTTTGTACACAAATAAACTCGCAAGTCAGGAAAACAAATCTTTTGTCAAGTGCCATCTCCCGATTTCGTTTCGGAAAACATATTTCTATAATTATAACTGGCCTCTCTGTCGGTTCAGTGACCTTGCTGACATAACATTTACATTTTACTCTACACCAAGGAAAGAGGCACCGGAATACAAGGGAAAATCAATGAACATCAGAGGAAAAAGAAAAAGGCTAACACTTAACATTCACAGGAGTTGGAGTTATTTTCAACTTTCCCCAACACTCTTCTTTAGCATCTCCCATGTGCAGACTTGCAGCCCGTCCTCCTCTTTCTAGACCCTGATCGTACGATTGTCCTGCTCAGAAATTTCCTGTGACTTTCAACCACACAGAGTCTGGTGCCACAGCCTTAACCTGTGGTCTGTACCTAACCTTCATCCATACCTTCTGCTGCGTTCGCTGCCTGTCATTTCCCAGACACCAGCCACCCTCCCTCGGTGAGGTGAGCCTCTGATCCAGCTGAAGCCTGTTGGCTTCATCTTCACTGTTCATGAAAAGCCTTCCTCTCTAGGAAGTCTCCTTAAATATTCCCAGCCCCGCCTCACAGACAGACTCATCTCTCACAGCAGCCTTGGCCTTTTCCTTCTTTCTTTGATGTCTTGTTTATTAGAGGCTGTCTTGATTTTCAGAATAAGGTGTTTGTAACTACCACCTCCACTACTGTGTGGGCCCCCGAAGGGCAAAGCCTGGGGCATCCTCACCTTTAAATGACCTTTAAGGCACTAAGTAGTGCTCTGCATGTAGTGAGAAGGCAACACGTGTTGGTTTAACTGAATCTTGTCTTGCAGAAAAAGTCAATGTCTATTCTTTGTA